TGATAGTTGTTATCACTGGTTTTGGCGTACGCGTGACTGCTGGATACATTCGAAGAAAGCAAAGGACGAAACAGTTGTTTTTTGAAATGAACGTCGACCCTGGTACCGGAGAGAGGATCGGTGACCATATGCGATCTATAGATTCCCATTGAACCCCTCTGAATAATAAGTAATTTCTCAGAGCGGCATTGCACTAAATTAATCTAAATACAAAAACGGAAATACCAAAACCTTTTTTTGTCGTGAATGCCGCTGGTTTCCGTAATCCTCCGGTGGACCATTTAGACCTGAGCACATATTAAACAAATACAGCTAAGCCTTCATTAGCTACGCAAATTTTAAACTTTTTCCTGTGAGGAAAGAAGTTTAGGATAATATGTACGACGGGTGATAAAAAGCCATTTTCAGGCTTCAGACAACCATTGGCCTCTAATTATCTTCGTCTTGAACCGCGTCCAAAAAGTAGGCGAGTACTCATCAATTTACCGCCTTCTTTTTAATTTTTCATAGCCGCACCGAAAGATGCATCCTTTTTTCCTTACCTGGCATTAACCTGGCCGGAAAATTGACAGCCCTGGTAGGGATTAAAAAAACAGCATTTGTACTACGTTCTTCGGAATCACTTGATTCAATGATATGGGATTTTTGTTCATGAGGATAAAGTTCCTCTTCCGACAGTGAGGGCTCGTCGGTAAATAAAAGTTAGTGATTGACCTAATTCATCTTGCCGCCAGCTTTCCTCCAATAGAATGAGCAATATTCTTACTCTGTTATTAATTTTATAAAAAAAACAAAGACAGCCAAAAAACGGGAAAGTTTCATTTAGGATGGCTGCATGAATGCCTAAACAGAACAAGGGAATACAAACGTCCGGTTACCTGAATACAGGTGGCCTTGCGATAAAGGGAAACACGTCCAACGTAAAACTAACCTGAAACATTAGTCATAATCCTAGTTCTATCCTAAACCTTAAACCTAGAGTTAACACGAAGCCCAACCTTAATACATAACATAATCAAGACCCTAACCCCAATCTTAACTCATAACTTCACATGGATCCTAAAAATAATCTCCCCAGGACTTGGCGCAAAGGCCCATGTATTGTGGGTGCTTCCTGTTCCCACGCCCTACGTAAGGGGCCATACATGTCATCCCTACCGCAATTTCTCCTACCCGGTAAGGCATAGGCCATAGTTTGTCCATAAAGTCTACTGGGCTTAAGACCCCAGGTTGCTCTTTTCTAGAGTTGTTATATTACTGGTTACTGACGACAGCCATGAAAGCTAATGATGTCTTAATTTCCCCAAATCAAGTTATGTATAACATCCACAATTTAAGCTAAAAGTTCCACAATATTATTAGACTCTTTGAAATGTTGACTTGCCTCTGACAGATACGGAATAGAAAAAAAAACATATACTGAATGCAAATTTGCGTGACATACCCGAGAACGGTACGGATACTCGGCGTCTGACATTAGACCCGAAGACTGGGCATAAGCAAGAGCGTTCTCAATCAGGCCGCCATTACATCCAAAATTTGATTGCACACAGTCGACCATTTGCTGTCTGGAGACTGTCACGGTGGAATTTTTCTTGATGGCCCAATGCCATTCAATCGCACTGGCAGCTGAAAAAGCCCAACACGCTCCACATTCTCGCTGTAACAGAGCATGCAAAAAAGCCAATACTACTTTTAAGTAATATATATAAACTGTAGGTACCTCACTGAGTTTGAGAGCAAAAGGGAAGTGTTGTCTGAATGGCCCTAGTTTTCTGGCGAACCAATTCTGAAGACAGAACAGGAGAAAAAATAGTGGCTGTATTTTCAAGTTTCACAGTGAATTATACAGCTTTCAGAGTGTATATGGTAGTAAGAAGAGCGAGCCTTGCAAGTGTACGGTTAAAATGTTCAGGGTGAATCCAAACTAAATTTTAACGAGAAACGCAAAAGCCAGAAATCATGGATATTTGTCAAACCAGAATATAACGTAGTAACCTTTGTGCCAGAAAAACTGTTGTAGGAGATCCCTAAA